TCTTCTCACACGGAGAAGATTAGACCATTAATCACCACGCTTGCTCAATGCGGGTTGGCGATTTCAAACTTATAATTAGAAATTATAAGCCCATGTTTCCTTACGATGTTTTCCTTCAGCGTTGGTCAGTGGTGTCTAAATAATCTTAAAAAGTACATATAACTCGGAAAAGGTCACATTGGTACTTACCGTTGATAGGTTTCGAAACTGCACCCTCGTGCATGAGAAGCAGGCGTCTTCAACCTCCGGGCCTCCACGACACGGCATTTATTATATTAGTTGGATTTATTTTTAGCGGTGTGATAGTTATTTTGTCCGCAAGTGTACAGGTGAAGAGACGGGTAAGTGGGCGAGCCAGTCGAGGGCATTACCCGCCGTTGTCCCCTTACAGTCATAACACCATATAATATGCATAATCTTAGAGTTCCCATACCAAATGTATTTACTTACTTTTATCATCGACTAGCAGTCCGTCCCGGTTTCGTTTGGTTACTGTTTCCGAATGTTCCTGGTTGACATAACATCAAATCATCATCATCAACATAACATCACGCCTTTTATCCATGAAGAGGTAGACAGAGGTGCACATTACGGCACTTAATGCCACTGTAGGTACCATGTACCTAACGCCCACTTTTCACTATTTTATGTTATGAGTCCCATGTAATAGGGGGTGAGTCTATTGATACATGGGACTCATAACATAAATAGTGAAAAGTGGGTGTTACATTGTACAGTGGCATTAAGTGCCGTAATGTGCACCCCTTCGGAGATGCCGTGTGTTATGTTAATGAATGTATTATATTTTTGAAATATTTACGAACAATACAATCATGTTTGATTACATAATTAGTTTTGTTATTTGGTTAGTTGCATAGTCAAGATAATAACAGGAAAATACTCAAAACATTCATTTCATTCAATGGACATTATGCGTATTATTGTAAAATTAAACTAATAAAACTATAATAACAATAGGTATATGAATTTTAAGTGTGGGAGAGCCATGCTTGGAACAAGCACCTAGCTTCACTGACGAAGACACAGACAGACTATTATTTATTTTATATTTGTTGACGTTTCAAAAGTACCAAATTATGGTTTAAATGAAATAAACGTTTTTGAGTTTGAGTTACGAGGCACTGTTTCAGGATGTTGACAAAACTCATAGTAGGTAATATTAAAGCGACTTCAGTACAATATGACATGCTTACACATTAATTTTCGTTATTAATAGTGTTTACATTTTCGGGGCAAACAAGATTGATTTTATTGTTTTTTTTTTGTTGTTTTTTTACATTAAAAAACAATAATAAATGAAATAAATATTTACAATGAATGGGATTCCCTGTTATCGTGTTAAGTAAAAAACTATAACACTTGCAAAGTAAATATTTTGATGACTTCATAGTTCTATATTTTTTAACGATCATATGACTCTCCGGTACACTGACGTCATCATTCTGACTGACTGACAGTTACTCGAACTTTTTTAACTCATTTTTCCTTTACTGTCATCATTAATAGCCTGTAAATGCCTACTGCTGAGCAAAGCCTCTTCTCATATGGAGAAGGTTTGAGATATAATCACCACGCTCGGTCAATGCGGGTTGACGATTTCAAACTTATAGTTAGAAATTATAAGCCCAGGTTTCCTCACGATGTTTTCCGTCAGTGTTTGTCAGTCGTTCTACTTACACCCTGTAATGTATACAGCTTTTTGTGCCTGATCTACGAGAATAATGTTTTACTACATGTAACGCAAATAAATTTTAAATTATCGCAATAAATGCGTGAGATTTAATAATATACGTACAACTCTAGTCTCTACTTATCACAGTAAAGTTAGGAGGTGTGGTGTTAATATATGTTCTAATTAAGGCAGGCTTATCTCAGTTCTGGGTATCCGTTGTGTTATCGCTTAGCGCTTACTACGAATACTTGGGTATGCCATTGTGTTATATGTATACTCATTTGTGTATTAATTATAGTAACTGTTAACTTTTATGAATCGTTCTTCTACGAACTGGGAATTTAAGGAATATGGCCGTTTTATGATGAGCGAGATGGCTGAGTTCAGTACATTTGTAATAAAGAAGAAGAATGAAAGAATATTAATTTTTTCTTCTTGACCTCCTCGTTGGCCGAGTGGGCGTAAGTCCGACTACCGGGCAAGGGGTCGATTCCCGGGTCGGGCAAATGATTACTGGATTAAAAAAAATCCTAATAGTAGCACAGAGCCTAGAATTGTATCCGGTACATGACATGGGACTCATAACATAAATAGTGAAAAGTGGCGTTACATTGTACAGTAGCATTGAGTGCCGTAATGTGCATCTCTGTCTACCCCTTTGAGGAATAATTCACCATTTTATTCATAAAAAACTTAAAATAAAACTATTACTTAAATAAAATTAAAACTAAATATTACTAAATTAAATTTATACACCTTAAGATTAAAATTAATTATTAATTAATTCATTAATTTGAGGATAAAAACCTTCCAAAACCGTTGCAACTCTTGTAAACCTAAGAGTAGAAGTCGATGGGGATGAATAAAATTGGACACCGTAACAAACTAAGTAAATCAAAAGATATTATCAATGGACTGTCGATGACAATATATTGAAGAGGACTATGTTCATAACATAAAATAACATCACGCCTTTCTTCCCCGAAGGGTTAGGTTAGGTTAGTAATTGGTATAGAATAGTAGTTAATCTATTCTATACCAATATTATAAAGCTGAAGAGTTTGTTTTTTTGTTTGTTTGTTTGAACGCGCTAATCTCCATAACTACAAGTTTCATTTGAATAATTCTTTTTTGTGTTGGATAGCGCATTTATTGAGGATGGCTATAGGCTATAAAACGTCCCGCTACGACCAATAGGAGCTGAGCAGAGCGTGTGAAACCGCGCGAAAGTAGCTAGTAAAACATATTTGGTCTGTCCAAGTCCAAGACCAAATATGTAGGTAGTTTACCTACCTTCTTGGAAAAGAAGCGTAATTATTTATAAATGTCTCATTCAATATTTCTGATGAATTCTAATTTATGTGTCGCTGTTACAAAATTAATAGGAATTTATTGTTAAAGGACCAAATATGTAGTTTTGTTATGACAACCATTTATCAGAATTCAACCACAAAACGGGAACGATGAGTAAAACGGTTTTATTTATGTATTCCATTGACGATTGATTAAATTCCTACATTAAGGAAGAGTTATAGTCCAGTTCAGTAAGTCGCACGTTTGCAAGACATATCTATTCGGTAAGATTCAGTAGATTTGTTTATTTCCGATAGATTTTTGATTTCTTGTTTTATGGACATGTTTTTAATAAAATAAAAACGTAATATGAAAATAAGACTAAGTCTTCCACTGGGTCATTGATAACAAATATGGACGCCTCTTTTTTACTGAAAATCAGTTTTTCTTTTACTGATAATTTCGTAATATCCAAGCATCAAAGATGATCGTCGGCATGTAATTATTGAAACCAATTGTTGTCGCTATTAATAGAACTGCAATAATTGTGAAGGTTAAAGGGCAACTTGAGGACCGACCGGGCGCGCTTCGCCCGAAACGTGTCACGTGACATTTCGCCGCCATTTTTACGATTTATGGCGCGAAATTAAACGTCAAAGCTGTCAAATACAGAATAAATAAACAAATCGTTATTGCATAATGTTCACTAAATATAATTAAAGACATTTATTTCTTAATATGGTGGTTCACAATGTTTTACTTTATGGTTAATATAATAATTGTTCTCATAAAAAAATGTAGAACATTAGATTCGTAGCATGAAGTGTCAGTATCTACAATGTGACATTTGTCAATTAAGTAATTATAAACGTAGTCTTTGAGTCGTTGTTTCGTACGTAAATATGTATACACCCATACTACATCACTATAATAGTTCTACAGAAAATAAAATTATCTATACATAATGTGTAAGTCGAAAAAGAAAAAGTTAGTTTATTCTAATTGCATTGTCATCATCATCAACAGCCTATAAGTAACCACTGCTGACCAAAGGCCTCTTCTCACACGGTTTGAGCATTAATCACCACGCTTGCTCAATGCGGGTTGACGATTTCAGACGTTTAGAAATTATAAGTCCAGGTTTCTTCAATATGTTTTTCTTCACCGTTTGTCAGTGGTGTTTAAATAGTCTTAGAAAGTACATATAACTCGGAAAAAGTCACATTGGTGCTTGCTGTTGGTAGGTTTCGAATCCGCGTCCTCATGCATGAGGAGCGGGCGTCATTGCATTGTCTAATCTTAACGAACATTTCGGTCCATCTACTCAATTAGTTGAAAGACAATCTCAGATCCCTTTTAACTGCTTTCTTCAACCCGCCTGGCAATTATGGAAATTATGGCTATCCCCGTCTTATAGAGGAAGCGAGGAAGCTCATATGCCCCAGCAGTCACGGGCTGTCAATGATGATGAAATTTGGGCCATAAACTAATGTTTTTTTTAAGGGGGAAAATCATCGAATGATTTCTCCCGTGTCACCCTGGCAGAGAGAGTGTCAGACTCTTACTCACTAAAAATCACCCCGTTCCTACTCCTGCACTTCGAGCCGGAATCCCGGTAACCCGTTAAGTTCTCCGCGGCTCCGTATCGGCATCAGCTCTACTATTATAAGCGCTGCACGTCCGGGTCTGGCCACCCGACCTTCTGGTCGAGTTACCTATGCTCGCCGTCTGTAGGCCCATGCTAAAGGTGGCCGGATATCGTCCCGCAATCCCCGACGCCCGGAGTGTCCTTCGCGACGGCTGGGCTGTGAGAAGCCTGCGCTTCGCTGCCTCACGCGCCCTGCCTTCTGACCCAAATTCATGACTAAACTCTTTGGATTAAGATTGATTTTAGACTGACATAGTATGGAGTTTATGTCGAAAACTTATTTATTATATTGGTTAACCTTTTACATTCTTTTAAATAGTCATAAGTATGAAGCACTTATTAATTCGTTTTCTTTTTCTATTTCAGCAATAAAATGTTCACCCGGTGTGACGGACCCTTCATGCACAGAAGAAATTAAAGAAGTTGACAGACACGGTGAGTTTCCATTACACAATTTACACCTATTGCAATCTTTATAAATATTGCTGTTCTTCTGACACAAACTGAGACAAAAGATAGACGATTTCAGATTTGAATTTTAATGTCTGTGTCGCGCAAAAGTTTGAAATACACAGTAAAGAACATCCCTTTTCTGCATGGATATCATAGTAAGTCATCATCAGTCAGTAGTAAGGGTAAGCCATCAAAATAACTCCTCCTACCCTGGATGAAGCGGAAGAAGAGGCAGAGTTTTACTGACTAAAAACTACCGTTTTCCATCTACTGCCTGTACCGGGGCCGCGGTGTATGGGTAGGCGCTCAACCGCAACGCCGGCGAGACAACGACGCTAATGTTTAGTAAGAAGACCTCTAAAATGAATTGCTGTCTCGTTTAGTATTTTTTTTAAGGGGGGAATATCATCTAATGACAGCTACCGCCTGGGTGGGGCGGGAGGGAGTGTCAGACTCTTACTGACTAAAAACCACCCCGTTTCTTCTCCTGCACGTCGAGCCGGAGCCTCGGAAACCCGCTAGGTTCTCCGCGATATCTCGTTCAGTATAGAATGAATATAGAGGTATACCCCTTTTTTGAGGGGGAAAATCATCAAATGACTTCTTGTTCTTGCACCTCACCGAAGCCTTAAACTCTTACTAGCCAAATTGCCTCTTTCTACTTCTGCTTCGATCTGGAGCCCCGGTAACTCGCAAGGTTGTCTACTGCCTCAGTAAAGAATGAATACCCCTAAAATGTTATTGCTGAACATTCCAGAATCACTACCGGGGGACCCGACGGAGGTGCAGTGCCTTGTCGGCAGTGAATGGGAGAGTAACTGCCACTACTGCCGCTGCTCCGATGAGGGAGTCGCCGAGTGCCTGAAACAAGACACTTGCGATAAAGGCGTATTTGGTAAGCAGATCTTTTATTTGAGAGAGCTGATGGATCACCTGATGGTATGCAATCGGCACAACTATGGAAATCCACAACATCAGAGCTTTGATATTTCGGTTTCCCGAAAATTGAAAAAAATTAATTGATGTTAAGCACTTGTCCAATCCATCTAATCCATGTATTGATTCTGAAATCCCAGTAACCTTTCGATCAGAGGCAGCCAGCTACGTTTATCATATCAATAGGATTATGACTTTAATTAACATTGAATTACGTATCATTTCAGCGGAGCCAGTCCTCTGCAAGCCAAACACGACTTTCCAGCGAGACTGTAACACTTGCATCTGCCTCGAGAATGGACTTGGACTTTGTACCTTGGAGTTTTGTCGGAGATCAGGTAATCATACAATTAGTTATAACATGTTAATAATATTGTAACTTATACTAAATACAACGGGCCTGCGGACGGCGAGCATGGTTGGCTCCCCGTCCGGCCAGAAACAGACCCGAGCGAACGGCGCGTCGCGTTCCGCGCGCGCCTCAAATAGCCATCAGACCACCACAGATATGGTCCAACAGGGCTGATGCCGATTCGGAGTTGCGGAGAACCTAACGGATTAACGTGGCTCCGGCTCGACGTGCAGGAGAAGGAACGGGGTAGTTTAGAAATTCGATGATTTTCCCCCCTTCAAAAAAAAAACTAAATTACAAAATATGTATTACTGATGTAACAATTCGAGAGTGATCGTCCAGTTTCAAGTCACGATCGCGGCTCATAACCTTTTGGCATATGTCAGTATTGTTACAATTATGAGCTGATCAACGCTTGCGTTGTGTTTTGTCGTGTGAGTGAGGTTACCGGAGACCCAATTACCCTCCCCTTCCCCAATCTCCCCATTTTCTGAATCCCCAACGATTCTCAAACTCCTAATCTCCAAAAGGTCGGTAACGCACTTGTAATGCCTTTGGTGTTCCAGGTGTCCATGGGCGACGCTGATTGCTTACCATCAGGTGATCCGTCTGCTCGTTTATCGGCTTATGCCATAAAAAAAAATTAAAACTAAAGAATTCATTTCGATGTTTTATTTTTTCAGGCAGCATCGATAGTGTTCCTGAAATCGTTATCGCTGATACTGAGTTAAATAACAAAGATGAAGCGAGTCAACCATTCAAAACTGAAATCTTAGTCCCGGTAAGTACAATACACAGTACCTAAATATCTTATACATAGTAACGATCAACATAATTATCTTTCATAAGGGTTTTTATGTCTCTAACAACCATCAGACGGCGTAAATGTAGCGTATAGTCTTTTTAAAACTGGACTGTTAGTATCAATTTGTCTATTGCACAAAAATATATCTATAATAAAATTGTAAATTAGTGCCATCTAGTGAGTAAGTACAAAATAAAGGTAACATTCTTTTGTTGGCTTACCTAATGAATAAAGAAAGCATAAAAGGTAGAAACAGACTTCTCCTATATTTATTATACTATTGGAAAAGACGATGCACGAAAAATAGGTTCGTGAGTTTTTGTGAAAAAGCCAGAAGAAATGGCGTATCATTAGTGGCATTACTGTAGCATCAGAATTATCGTCCAATAGAATATTTGCTAATGTCAGATCATTAGTCAGTCGAATTGTAACTCTACGCTGATTGGTCTAATAGCACCTTACCTAACTAGTAACATCCCTTGAGTGCAAAAATTAAAACCCTCATTACTTTAAAATAATCAGCATACAATATATATAAACAATGTGTTTTTAATTAAAATCGATGTTCGTTACTGACATCGACAGCTAGTTTCGTGATACATTTGCACAATTTGGTGAATGGGGTGCACAATTCATCCATTGCAAGGTAAGTACATTTTGAATTTACGTAAGAGTGAGATTACCGGTGGCCCATCCCCCCACCATCCCCAAATTCTCAAATCCCTAATCCCCAAAAGGCAATCCGGCAACGCACTTATCATTAGAGGTGTCCTCTAATGATAAGTGCGTTGTCCATGGAAAAATCATGCCATTGCCATTGCCATTCGCAGGCCCGTATAAGAGCTTGGACTATGGTTATGGCTGCGACGCGACCCCTATTATAGGAGAATCAATCAAGGTGTCACACTGTTAAGTGCATCTCCACTTAGTTCTAAGGCTCTTTATAAGGATGGAAAATCGGCATATGATTTTTCAAGAAGTGACAGACTCCTTCTAAGTAAAAACCACTCCTTTCTAACTTCTGACCATCCTGGTAGTAGATTTGAAGGCTTAACACCAATGCTATTAGAAGTAAAAAGGTGTAAATAGGTTCCCTACGATCGTCAATAAGGCACATTAACTTACGTATGAATATACTGACGGGTTAACGTAACTCTGAGGTAAAATGAGGCCAGTTGACTACATTTCGACGTGGCACTTTCAGAGCGCTTATAAGCTATTTACACCTTTTAACTAATAATAATTCATCATCATCATCATCAATAGGCCATAAGTGGCCACTGTTGACCAAAAGCCTCTTCCCGCACGGAGAAGGTTTGATCATAAATCACCGCGCTTGCTCAAAGCGGGTTGGCGATTTCAAACTTATATTAAAAATTATAAGTCAGGTTTCCTCACGATGTTTTCCTTCACCGTTTGTCAGCGGTGTCTACATAATCTTAGAAACAACATATTATATAACTCGAAAAAAGTCACATTGGTACTTGCCGTTAGTAGGTTTCGAACACGCACTCTCAATCATGAGAAGCCTTAAGGCTTAAACCTCCGGGCCACCACGTCATAATTATCATTGCTTAATTCAATTATGTTATTTTAATTATGTCCTTAACAAAAACCGTTCTATACTTATTCTTCTTCAGAATCAAAATAATTATGACCTAGGAGGCTTAGATTTGGAGCATGACCTGGTGATCTTAAAGCGGTCTATCTGCAAGCCTCTTGAGGAGTTTATGAGAGACTGCAACCCCTGCAAATGTGCCAGTGATGGACTAAGCTTCTCCTGCACTCACAATGAGTGCTTGGAGACAGAAGTCGGTAAAGAAGAAGATAAGGATAAAGAAGTTGAAGTCTTTATGCAAAGTGAGGTACGGATTGGACTTTTTTCATTGGATTTCGACTTTATAAGACAAATAGCTTTTACTCGCGGCTTCCCACGCGTCACAAAAGGATAAAAAGTAGCCTATTTGACATATACCAATACACACAGCGCCATCTATACCAATACTTATGTTTTCCCTCGGGAATATCTTTTTTTCCGGGATAAAAAGTACCCTATTATTTAATCTGGACTTCTATCTTTACTTCTGTAAAAATTCAAAGCAATCGATTAAGTAGTTACGGCGTAAAAGCGAAACAAACAAACAAACTCACTTTTCGATTTATAATATTAGTAAGGAAGTAAGGATAATGGAGTTGAAAATCTAATAAAATTTGTCAGAAAGGATCTGCTGGGCACTGTACCATATTTTACTGATGATAGAGAAGAATGCATTTTTGTTATCTCCCCTATTTTTTCTGGCACTCGCCAGATGTTGTAAGAATCGACTGCAGCAGCACTCTGACATAACCTTGAAACTTGTAAACTGCATTCTTTACTTTTTGAGATTCACTTACCATTCATGGAAGTTTTGTCAAACCCCTCTTTTGTAGAAACCACAGACTGTTGATGAAGAAGACTCTTTATCATTTGGTGGCAGTTGTAAGACACATATGGGTCCAATCTGGTAGTGATGTTTTTATAACAGTTCCTATATTTTCAGGGTCAGGATCACATAGAACGTCACTCAGTATGTCGAGCTAGCAACACGTTCTATATAGGCTGTAACACATGCCACTGTAACTCTATAGGCACTGACTATACATGTACCAATAAACCATGCCCATTGCCCGCTGACGTTGAACTGTTTCATGAACTCAAGGTAAGCTGATTTGCACTTTCAAAGTATTTAGATGTAAGGTACAATTTTGCTGTTCGGTTTGAGGCACGCATTCGACTGTCAGGCATGCTGCTATGGTTTTGGATCCCGGGTGTTGTTTGAAATAAGTCGAGGAATCGGAGTCGTAGTTAATAAATGTTTTTCTTTCAAATTTCAGGAAATAAAACCTGCAGTGCCGTACTTGGGTGATTTCGAAACAGAAAAAGAATATAAAGCTGCGAAATTGTGAATAACAAAACTTTTAATTATTAGTTATCATAAAAAACTACAAGAATATAAATATTTTTTTTATAAATTGAAACCAAAGCTTTTATAACTAGAATTGGTATTTTATTTACTTACTACTAATATCTTACAGGTTATTCAGTAAAAACGAAAATATTTTTACTTACAGTTATTGTAACCCTTCATAGATTTATTTTGATGGTTTGGTACACTCATGTCGGAATACTCAAACGCTACTCAATTTTAAGTCGTGCTTAAGTACAGTTCTGTCTCTACAAATTATTTGTAAAATGACAGAGATGGCACGATATTTAAGCACGACTTAAAATTGAGTAACGTTTCAGTATTCCGGCATCAGTAGTATACATATCCTCTATCTATCATTAAATGTCCTCGTTCATTTGTTTCATTTTGTTCCTCACCTAAATTATTATCTACCTTTGGTTTTGACTTTGATTCATGAACGTTTAAATTCGTCACATGTCTTTATGGCACTCATGATTTCATCTGATTTTGATATAACCCTTTTGTATTTTTCAATTTGTTCTATCCAACACGAGTACCTGATCAACCCAGTCTTTCACAATTAAAGGTTTCTTACTGTTCACTTTACGTCATTTGACGAATGCCAAATGCTTGCATCTTGCTCAAAAACACAAACAATGAAAACTGTCCACGAATCGACAATATTAAATCCTCGTATCGTTTTCGTCAAATGACGCAACGTGGACCGTAAGCCTAACTCTATGTCCATTCAATATTTTCATTCCATTACCCGTTTTGATTAACAGCACACATTTGAACATCGTGTACAACCACCATTGTAGAACTAACTTCCATTTCATTTAATTTCACTAGACAATGAAGTCAGCTAAAAATAAAACGAAGTCTAGAGTCTGCGAGGCCAATCGTATGTTTATAAAAGACTGCAACACATGTTGGTGCAATGAAGATGGAACTAGTTATTACTGCACTCGAAGGGTTTGCGTGCCTTTGCTGCCAGAAGACCAACCTGATATCGGAGGAATACCAGCTGAAGTAGAAACTGTTATAACGTATTAGCATGGCTTAGGGTGATGGGAAAATGCATATGGTATCTCTTAATCTCTTATTTTTGGAAGTTCTAGATGTGATCGTGTGAAAAGTTGAAATATACGATATAAGTTTCGACGCCGTTTTTATCGGACTGAGGATTCGTACACCAAACTCCCTCTCTCCCTCCATGCATCGCAAGACCTTGCGAATTGATTCGCATCGCGCATCAAAATCTTATCTTCCCAAAATCTATCTTTGTTCCTTTCTCCTGTATCTCCTAAGCAGTAACAGAAGTGCACACTTCTTTTTACGATCCATGTCACGACCTAGTTTTCAATTTAAAATACGTTTAGTACGGTTGACGGTCGTCGAAGGATTGGTCACCCTGGGGTCTCCCAGGGTGACCAAGGCGTCTGCCTTGTTGCACGAAATCGCATCGCAGCAATTCGTATCGTAATTTTCCGCGTTGCGAATTCGCATCGCATCGCTGTTTTGTGTACGAGCCCTGAGACCTTTTCGTACATTCATTCACAGGGCAATTTGTTGCTACCTTTATTAATGGTCTATATCTAAAAAAAGTTGAACAGTTTGTACGTTAAATTATTCAAAGCATATGGAAGAAAGCCTTCTTTATCTTTAGCCTTTATGTAGCCAAATGCCACTTAGCGCTTGTCTACATGTAGAATAGAAAACCAAATTATATGAAATTGACGTATATTTTGACACTTGTCAGTGTCATCCTCATACATTTTGATTTCTACTCTCTCTGTAGACAAGCGCTAAAGTGGCGTTTGGCTAGAGGCCATGTATAGAAACCAGCTAGACTAGCCATCGATTAAAATTATAAAACTTTTTGGCTTTTAACAAAGTTTGGCCATCACTGTGGATTCAATAATCTTTCCTATAGATGATGAAGAAACGCCTTGCATGTCTATCCTTTGTATTGAAGAAATACCAATTTCCTTAATAGTATTTTAAGTATTCTCAGTAGCCCAAGTGTCCATGAAAGTTACCTGCTTTTTATCGGTGTCTTGTGGTTGCTGTAAGGTATTTATTTGCATTGTATATTGCTTTATTGAGTTCTAAAAACAATTCAGCTTAAATCTTCTACTCTTTGGCTTCAATCGTATCATGATCTATGTTCTCTTCTCTATCGAGCAGAATCTTCGCGTGATAAAGAAGGAATGTCGACCTAATGAAGTTTTTGAGTTGGATTGCAACATGTGTCGATGTAACCCTGATGGAAAGTCCTATGCTTGCACCAGAAGGGCTTGTGAAGAACTACCAGAAGACCAGAAGGTTCCATGCCATTTTTGACTTATGTTTGGGGTTATTTGGTTCACTAAAACAACTAGAAATTTCTTATTTATAGAAAATTACTTGACAATTATCTGGTGATGGCTAATTTCTGAAATAATTAAATCCTGTCTAGTTATTGTAATGTTAAGTTGATGAATTTTGGTATAGATTTACATAAATAAAGATTTCTCATAGTAATTTTACTAGTATTATGTATTGTATCTACTTATTGAATAACTTCGCGGTTCTGGTTTTCATGTAATATTTTTATTTCTTTTAATGGTGGTGGATGTTTCCCTAATAATAAAGACTTCTTCAATATCTTTTGTTTTTTTATTATTTCAAATTCCTTGACTAATCTGACGTTGATTAACATTTATCTTTATTACACTTGTTTAAGATACAATTTCATCTGTATCCGTATTTTCACACATAGTCTTCTTTAGTGGGATTTTTATTAATATATATTTTTTTTAATTTTCAGAATGCCCCACTGTCGAGAAAAGTACGATCACTAACTACGGTAATATTTTTTTAGTTTTGAAGTCTTTGATATAATTTTAGTCAATGTTCTTGTGCTCGCTAGATGTCGTTTAAGTAGAGTTATGTCCTGTTAGTTTAATAATGCACAGTTAATTTAGGACAGTTATTGGACAAAATCGACCTTACGCTGCTTTAGCATCTAGTTGGCATTCGAACATTTAGAAACCAACTATGATTTTTATGTAGGTACACAATTTGATTATGGCACATAAGGAGAACTTAATGCCATATGGCATTCTCTACCAGTCAACCTTAGGATTTAAGTAGAAAATCTGCGAGATGATGATGATTATGATACCAGAATAGTAGTAGAATATAATACTACCTTTTTAATTTTTATATAGGTTTTTTATTTTTTTTATAAAACATTACCTCACACGAGGATTATCTCCTGTGTCGTGGGCACGTTTACAAACATACAAGTTCACATACACATGATACCGAGACCCGGAACAACAATCTATGGACCAAAGAGTTGTTCCGTGCGTGAATCGAATCCGCGACACGTTGCGCGGCAGCCACCGCGCCAACCGTGCCGTCGCTATAGTAACAAATAACAATGTACTAAATGTATCTAGTAGGAGCCGCCAAAAGCCTGCAAGCCAGGACAAGAGTTTCGGATGGACTGCAATAAGTGCCTCTGTGACAATAAGGGACAAGACTTCTCCTGCACACGACATGACTGCAACGCCCTGAACAACAACCACCATGCTAGTGCTTTCACTGGCGTGAGGAGTAAACGAGGTACAATTTAATTAAAAAAATACTAATAATTATTATTAAACTGTCAAACACCAAGCGGTCACCGGTGACCGCAACGTATTGTTCTATAATTGTGTCTACAAAACCGGTACTCGACGAGTTAATTGGTTTTTTCTCGGTGATAAATTAGCTATGTAGGTATAATTTTATTTCGGGACAATAACGAAACAAATTTTCCGGCGTATTCGAAAATAATCTATTAAAGAAATTAACTTAATTAATAGCCGCGGATAATGGGTTACCGGGGCTTTGATGTAGGAGTAGGAAAGGGGTTGTTTTTAGTAAGAGTCTGACACACCCTCCCCCACACCCAAGACGGGATAAGTCATTGGATGATTATTCCCCGTTGAAACAAGTATACTATTATTATACCTGTATCGTCGTGGTGGCCTGGAGGTTTAAGACCTATTCTCATGCATGAGGATGCGGGTTCGAAATCTACCGACGGCAAGTACCAATGTGACTTTTTCCAAGTTATATGTACTTTCTAAGATCTAGACACCACTGACAAACGGTGAAGGAAAACATCGTGACGAAACCTGGCCTTATAATATCTAATTTTAAGTTTGTAATCGCCAACCCGCATTGAGCAAGCGTGGTGAACACGTTAAACGCCATGGGTGTCACCGGTGACCGGCGTTAGCGAAGGACTTACCTTAAACAGTTTTTTATTAGCAGTCAAAGTCTTAATGCTCAAACTTTCTCCGTGTGAGAAGAGGCTTTGCTCAGCAGTGGGCATTTATAGGCTGTTGATGATGATGATAATTAATATACCTAATCTTATTGCAGAAATATCTGAGCAGCTTTCGATGCAGTGTGTGCCAGGCAGCGTGTTCGACCGCGGCTGCAACGTCTGCAAGTGCACCGACAATGGCCAGTTCGCGACCTGCTCTCTTAAACGGTGCAAGACTGAAACCGAACATGCACCTGGTAGGTAAGACCAACTGAATACATCATGATAGAAAGGAAATGGGAACTAACATTTTTGATCCTAGTATTAAATGCGAAAGCTTGAATCTTTGTCTTTTTATGGCATAAGCCGGTAAACGAGCAGATGGATCACCTGATAAGCAATCGGCGTCGCCCATGGACACCTGGAACACCAGGCGTAGAGTCTGGAAAAGTGTCCAGTATATGGCAATAGGTCCACCCCCTGTTACATAGGTCTCATAACATAAATAGTGAAAAGTGGGTGTTACATTGTACAGTGCCATTAAGTGCCGTAATGTACACCTCTGCTGCCTATCACTTCAAACATAAAAGGCGTGATGTTATGTTATCTTATGTTCACGTGAGAAAAACCGTAATTAAAATAATCTAGTATGTATAAATAATATACTTTTCCAATATCTTACTTGAAATAACTATTAAAGACATGTCTATATAATGATTTATTTATTTAGAATCGGATCAAGGCTTCCGTTGTAACCCTGGCGAGCAGTTCAAACGTGATTGCAACGACTGCACCTGTTCAGCAGATGGCAGGAGTGTGTTCTGCACACTGCGTTTATGCGACGAAGCCCTAACATCGGACATTTAAATTAAACCCTAGCTTATCTTGATATGATACGATTTCCATGTTCCCCCAACTTATTTGCGATCCCTAGATGGCGCCAATATAGTTTTAAGACTAACAGATTTTTGTTACAAATTAATAAATGTATTTTTTTGTGACATTAATCAGCATTTATATGTATTTTTCTTTCTTATTTATAAACACCAGTGAATTTGAATTTGTATTCGCGCTATACTTATGTAGAAAAATATATTTTTTTTAATATCGTGTCCTTTCAAGATGAGTTTTTGTTTCCGTAGCAGCTGTGCAGTCGATCAGACTCTCTGTTAGTCGATTTGTCGATCGAATAATTGTGTGCATTAGTATCATTTCACTGTTTTGTGTTTTTTAAGTATTTTGTGACTAATTTTACTTAGTATGTAATACGAATGAACGATTAGTTATTTGGTATTTCACATAATTGTACAATATTTACAGAGAATATTAGTTACAACTAATCATTTCGGTATCACCGATTATTTCACAGTTGAAAATTTAATAAATCGACTAAAACGAAATTTTAAATTGACTAAAGGTGAATAGTCGATGAATCGAATAGTTTTGTTTGAGTACTGAAAGTATAAGTACATTTATTAGTTTTCCCGTATCTTGTATTCAGTTTACGTATTAGTAAACTAACTTATTTTTAATAATAGTAAGTGTGAAGAGCCTATTTTCATATTGATGTGTGTGTGTGTCATCGGCATTTTCAACTTAGTTGGCTAACACGCGATTTTTGTGTGTTAATGCTTTGTTTTTTCATTTCATTTTCATTCCTTTAGGATAAACGTTGTGTGGGCCGAGTAAGTAGTTAAATTTTTCACTAATTGTGAAGCAGATCAATAATAGTCCATTCATACTAAAATAAATATTAATATGGCAATTACTTAATTAATAACTTCTATTATCTGTTTATGTAGTTTGAAAGTTTATTTAAACAGAAAATTTAATTAAAATAATATCAATTAAATAACAGTTTAGTCGATTTTTTGAAATAATTTAGTCGATTTTCTAAATTCGGTTACTTGCTCGGCGGACGAATAGTATCACTTGAATGTTTAGTAGTTAATTAATTAATAGTAATACGTGGCTTAACTTAGTTAATACGTACCATCATGTATTAGGCGATACGTAATTAAAACTTAAGTAATTTGAGTTAAAAGTAACTATCATGGAACGAATAAACGAGTTTATTTTATTGTTTGGTGTTTTTTTTTGTTACTACCTAAAATACGGTGGCCAGCAGGACTTTTCTGTAATTTTTTTCTATTACATCTTCAACTTTATCATAATATACACATAAAATCGACAATCCATTGAATTTTGAGAGATTGGAGTAGTTTGATCCGCTGAATGGTGTACAATCACTGGTCTTTCTTACTCTAACAGTTATATATAGGGTTTCTATTTTGTTCTATTACTTTTGGTATAGGCTGACAAACGGATTACTTGATGGTAAGCAATCGGCGTCGCCCATGGCCACTCCAAACACCAGAGTGGAGTTTAAAGTGCATTGCCAGTCATTTGGAGGTTAGAAATTTGAGGGAGATCAAATTTGGGGAGGCGGAAATTGGGCCTCCGGTAATTTCACGGTGGCATTCTGTAGGGCCGTGATCAGTCGGGTCGGGACGGCCCATTCGTGCTGAAGCATGGCTTTCCCATACTTAAACCATATTCATCTTCTAGTGTTCCTGTCTGTAAGTAAAAGTTAAAACACAGTCGAATTGAGAACCTCCTCCTTTTTTGAAGCGTTTTTGGTTAAGTTATCACTAGTACACAAATGCTTTTGGATGCATTTCCCAGGTTAAGCAAAGACAAGTATAGCTACCGACTAATCATATAGTTTGTAGGGTTCCCAAGATATTACGTTATTGTATACACCTCTGTCTATCCCTACGGAGATTACAGTTCAGATATTATGCCAGTATAAGTGATTTTATAGGTACGTACGTAGGTAGGCACACACAATTAAGACTATAAAAAAAATTAATGGCGTTCTTTAATGAGTTAATCATTTATTAATTAATCTTTATGTTATTTTTAATGGGGAGGAAAATGATGAAGTTTATGGACCGTGACCGATAGATGGCGTTGTTTTAAAAATGTATTGATTGAAGTCAGAAAATTAAAGCATGTTGCTCAGTCTGGTCACGTTTGTATCAATTATTTTATTATTGAACAGCATTGAAACGACTTTATGTGAGTATTTTTCTTTGTACATCATCTATAACTTATTTAAACTTAAATTGGGTAATACAGAAATTAGAAATAATTGTTTATTTTGATGTGTGCGACTAATAAGTGCGATTCCCGGGTCGGGCAAAGTATTAATGGATTTTAAAAATAATCTCAATAGTAGCACGGAGTCAGGATTTGTGCCCGGCATATGACAATAGGCTCACTCCCTATTACATGGGACTTACAACATAAATAGTGAAAAGTGGTGTTACTTCTGTGTGCACCTCTATCAACTCCTTGGGGGATAAAAGGCGTGATTTCCAAGGCTATTGACATCTTGACTACAACGACATCGATGAGGTGAACAAAATGAAGCCCCAAGCCTTATACAAATAATATAAATAATATAAATATTTTAGGACTGTTTCTATTCAAATATGAAACAGTATTCTGTATTATTAATATTATTATTCTCTGGCTGCATAGACTGTATATACTACTACTTCGTATTATTTGTTGCATTTAACTGAAAATTTATTTTTATATCGACTGCCTCATTGGCCGAGTGATCGCAAGTTCGACTGCCGGGCAAGGGGTTTCGGGTTCGAATCATAGGTCGGACAAAGTATTACTGGGTTTGTAAAAACCTCAGTAGTAGCACGGAGTCTGGAAATGTGCCCGGTATATGGCAATAGGCTCACCCCCTATTACATGGGACTCATAACATAAATAGTGAAAAGTGGGTGTTACATTGTACAGTGGCATTAAGTGCCGTAATGTGCACCTATGCCTACCCCTTCGTTGATAAAAGGAGTGATATAATGTTATTATTTTTATATTAAAACTGCCGTGAGAAAATGAAATATTATTTTAATAGTAAACTTTCTAGTCTGTCGCGCTGCTACTCTGGGTCGTTAATCCTAGTATACTATTTTGGTAGCAGCGCGACAGACTAAAAATATTATTGTTGATATGTGGAAAAATTTTTGAATAACAGTAATATAGATAGTCCTACTATATAGTATATAATGTAGTAAAACATTACCCTGTATTTTTATTTTGATATGTTAATTAATTAATTCCGCCATAAAAAACTAGGTTCCTTACATTTTTCATTAAAGAAGTAGTTCTAGTACCCTACTCAAATAGGTCAATATTCTTTCATAATCTTGTAGCTAACCAATTTTAGCTCTTAATTATAAGTAGATACAGTTAAAGTTAGTTTATACCTGGCCTAGTGGAGCCGGCGAAGCGATGTGTGCCGACTATGTCAGTTCGAGGTCCGTGTCACGTCTGCGTATGTTCCTCTGAGGGAATTTTCCACTGTCGTCGCAAGGAGTGCCAAGAGGATGACGTGCTGAGTAAGTGAAATTACTTATTTCAGTAGGTAAAAGTATGGTTCTACAGGCTTAAGATAGCTTAGTATTTTGTATGCACATTCTGCCAGTTAAAATCAGGTAGGATTTATAAGACTGTGATGAAATTCGCCCTTAAACCCATTTGATATTTAGTACAAACTGCAAGAAACATCAAATTAAAACATGTCTTATAAGTTACCCTTTGGTTTTTTATAACATTGCCCCACATTAGGATTTTCTCCTGTGTCGAGGGTGCGTTTACAAACATACAATTTCACATACACATCATATCCAGACTCGGAACAATAATTTGTAAACACAAAGAGTTGCTCCGTCGCCGGTTACCCAGCCGTCGCACCAACAGTGCAATCAATGAATGTAATTAAATTAGGGCTAAGATAATAAGAATTCGACTTACCTACCTACTTCTAGTGCAAGCTAGAACTTGAACTAAAGAAAAGAACTCAAAACTATTTAGTTTTAGGTACTAAAACTTAACAAAACTAAACTAACTACATATCAATCAACCTTTGCAGGAAACGAATCTAAAGAAGATTGCCAACCAAACTATTTATATCGAACCGACAACATATTCTGCACTTGTAGTAGCAACGGTTACTGGGAATCCAAGAACTGTGAACAGGAGTTCCACTATCTCCAACCAAAAAAGGGCATTTATAATCACTATTTAAGAACCAGTGTTGCGTGCACAGCCAACCAATATTTCCTTATCGATTGCAACCTGTGTAGATGTTCCCCTAGCGGCATCATGGATGTAACTTTATGCACAAATAGATACTGTAGCAAAGGACATAAGGCTGACTATTGCGCGTACGGGGACGTCCTCCGCACTAAAACTGACCTGTGCAGCTGTAGTGATATTAACTATTACATAGACCGTCTTTGCATTAAAATTTTAGATGAACCGATTCAAATTATACCGACTAAAGAAATTTTGAAACTAGATGATATTAAAAAAGCTGGGCCTGTTTTGAGGGCAGCTTGTAATAAAGATGATGTGTATGAAGTAAATTGTAACAAATGCTTTTGTAAAGACGGTGAACTTGTGTGCACCGATACAGTTTGTGAATACAAACAGGGAGATTTGAAAGTAAAGAAAACGAACGAGATTGAAATTCTACCAGAACTGAAAAGTGTATGTCAACCTGGGAAGAGATACCGTTATAAGTGCAACATTTGTACTTGTACTAAGGATGGTTTCCCATCCTGTACTACAATGATGTGCTTGAAAGATTACTTAATAGATATGAAATCACTTAGAGGAGTTTTATCTAGTAATGGTTTAGCGTCTTCTTGATATTTCATTATCAGTGTTTGTTTTGCTCGTTTATTATATTTCTCTTCAATTTTTTTTAGATTGTTATTATTAGTGTACCTATTAGCTTTAACGATATTTTGTTTCCTTCGTAATTCTGAATTTTATTCTTAAGTGTCATTAGGATTGTT